ATCAACACAGGTAGGCTCCAAAGACTGGGTGCTATGTGAAAATCGGCCTGATGCCAAAATGGAGGACGAACACATCATTGCCTCACTGTGCGATTACGTCACCACACAGCTGCCAAACCACTAGGAATCGTGGCCCCGCCAAGCTGACACATGACCTTAGCCATCACAGCCAGCATTCTCTTGCCTTGGACCTTTGGTGTTCATTACGACCAGACGTATGTCATAAATGCACAAAATACACTATCGTAAATGTGAAATGTCAGTTCACGAGATAGTCAATAACTAAGGAGTAAGGCATCCAAGGCGGTGACAAGAACGTGCTAGGTACACAGTGTTGCTGTTAGGTGCTGTCCAGTCAACCTTGACACATAGTGACCCTAGGCACAACAGAACGAAACACTGCCCAGTGCACAGTGGGATTTGCTAAAGGACGGTCCCATCTTCATGGATGTCTCAGATGCGACAGCTGGAAGGATCCTTAGCTATGACATAGCCCTGCCCCTCACTGAAAGGAAGACGTTGAGATGCCAGGACGGTGAGGTATGTGGCCAAGTTTAGATGGCAAGTTCAGGGCGGAGCAGGAATCCAGTTCCCAACAAGCAAACTGCTGCTTGGACAAGCAGTGTGTACCTCGAGGAATCCGGCCAGCAAGTCTTAGCCAATCCAGCCCAGAGGCCAAGGCTCCCATCTGCCCTTTGGGTGTCCAGGACTGTTCAATCTCTGCCCCTGAAACTGATGCTGGCCAATGGGCAACGCGAATACTCAGCCAGCCCTGGTCCACCTGGAATGCAGTGTAGGGACGGGGAGCGGGCAGAGGGGTGGCGGTGTCTTTGTGAGGGGAGGGGGCTGGTGAGTGAAACTGCAGTGGCCACTAAAAAACTAATCACAATTAATCCGTGAGGGTGTTTGTGCTTTAATGAAGCCATTAGCTAAGGGCCATTCTGAGAGGGAAAATGTAGACTCAACTCTGAGTCCATTACCTCTAATGAACCTGCAGATGGGCTGAGGGGATCTCTGGGTATTCGTAGCAGCTGTAATAGCCCTGGTACATGCTGCCTGGATTGCAGCCAGGCTCCGGGCATCCCAGGGACCCGGAAGAAGAGCCGGCAGACAGAGGGTGAGCCTCCGGGGTGCTGAGCACAGGCACCAGGGAGGACGCTGGCCTTTCCGCACGGGGGCTCTTCCGGGAGTGCCTGTTTGTGCCCGTTGCTCCCCTGGAGAGAGGACAAAGAAAAGCACCTTCCTTGCGTCTCCTGCTTCAAACTGCAGCTGTGAATTTGGAGAGAGGTTTGGGGAGAGATTGGTCCAAAGGTAAAAGGTGTGAAGAGGTTCCAAAGACAACTGTGCTTCATCCTCACTTGGCCATCAAGAAAAAGATTCGCAAAGTGCAAGCCAGCAACACCGCACAGATGCAAAGCAAAGCTAAACACCTTCTCAGCAGTACGGTGGACACACACATGGCTGTGTGAGAGGCCACACTAGTAGCTTTGCCCGCAATCGGTGTGGGCAGTGCAAGACAAAGGCCCAAAATCTGCAGGCGCATGGCTTAGAGATGATGTCATCCTACCCCTCATTTGTACAACGAGGACATGGAGACGCCAGGAGATTAAGGCATGTGGTCAAGCTCATAGGGCAAGTTCATGGCAAAGCACTGACTGGAGTCCGGGTTTCAGAATCCCAGTCCCTAACAAGCAACACACACTCACGGGAACGGCTGAGAGGAAGACACTGTGGTTTACTTACAAGTCTGCAGAAGGAAGCCCTGCTGGCCTGGTGGCCATTGCCAAAATGTACTCATCATGAAAATGACATGGCTTGTCAGTCTTGTGTGGACATCCGTGGTTGTTGGACAGGCTCTATCCATCCCTCGTATCCGTGACGTACCCTGATTTTTTTTTTCCCCCATAGCACCTGCGGTGAATTGCTTGATGTGTCCCTTCTAGCCGCTGTCCTCCATTCTGTGATGTACTGTAAATCCTATTATCCCTGCCTGTGTGGGGTGGGTGGTAGTTAAGGTCGGGTGTCAACTTGGCTGGGCAGCTGGTAGTAGTCGTTCCCTATAATGACTGGTAATCGGCTCTGTGGTGGGATTTGCCTTAAGCTGCTGATTGTTAAAGCCATCCACTTGGGTTGTTTCTGTTGGGGCAACACAGGTGGAATGTATCTTGAGTCCTGCCTTGCTGGAGGGTGTAACTCAAATCACCACCCTTAGCTTCCTTGAGGGTGTACCTACGAATCTCCCGGGAAGGTTCGCCCTCCTCTCGCTCCAGTTCTGTGTCTTTGCTCATCCTCATCTCACCCCTGGATGTGGGACAGCAGCCATCATCTGATCTGCTGATCGAGGTTCATCAAACCCCGAGAACTGGGAGGATCCTCCACACCCTCTCGGAGCTGGGACTCGCCGGCCTGCCAGCCTCGACCACTACTCCCTGAGATGATCCCTTGGGTGTCTGTGAGTTCTGTGAGGCATTACAGCAAATACAGAACCCTAAGACGGGGCAGATTACTGGGAGGAGGAGGTGGCGGTTGTTGTTGTTATGTGCCGTCGAGTCAGACCCGACTCATAGCGACCCCTCCTTGGGTTTCTAAGACAGTGTCACTAAGGAAGTAGATTGCCCCATCTTCCTTCCGAGGAGTGGCTGGTGGGTTTGAACCGCCAGCCTTCTGGTTAGCAGTCAGATGCCTTACACTATCAGAGCTCCCAGGAGGAGGAGGAGTTAATGTCTGAAATGATGGAGTGGCACGGTAGTTTGGACATTTGGGACATCTTTAACCTCCGCCTCATAGAGACCAGGCTTGCGCTGATCTTTCTGAGAGAGATTATTCAAGCAGCACCTTATCCTCATGGACCCTTCCAGTCTAAGAACTGCAGAATCCTGACACACTCCTGGAATCCTAGCACTGCCCACCCCTCTGGTTCCAGAACCTTCTGGTCCTAGAACCTTGGCACCACTGACCCTGCTCCTCCTAGAACCTCTGCAGTTTTGCTCCTTGAAACTCTATAGAGTCCTTGGGCTCCTCTCACTTTGGCTCCTGGAGGTTAGCACTGTTGGCTTTCCTGCTCTTAGAACGTTAGCACTGACCACTCTTTTAACCCTAGAATCTCAGTACCAGTGAGCCTTCAAGTCCTAAAGCTCGGCCTTATTTCCCTTTGACGTTGCCCACCCTTCCAGTTAGGACATCAGCCCTGCCGCCTCCTACAGCACCACTGGCCTTCCTAGTCTCAGACCTGTCCTGTTGAGCCTTCAGTCCTAAAACGTCTCCATTCTGTGGCTGGACAATCGAATACAGTGGCTAACCATGACTGGTGGCGCAGTGGCTAAGGCACTTGACTGCTAACCAGAAGGCTGGCGGTTCAAAGTCACCAACCACTCCGCAGAAGGAAGGTTGGACAAACTACTTCCATAGTGATACTGCCTTGGAAACCCAAGGAGGGATCATTATGGGTCGGGTCCGACCTGACGGCACATAACAACAACAACAACTAGGGGAAGGGACTTTACCACACCCAAGCCACATGTTGGAGAGTGAAGGGGGTGTGAGGCTCCTTCACAAAATCAGGATGTTACCCCAGGAGATCTGGAGGCAACAGCCAGCATCAGCCACACACGCAGCACATGTTGGTGGGTGCTCTCATGCCGGCTGTGAGCGACCGAGGCAGGATGGAGAGTCCGGGGACGTTTCTGGAGCCGCGGACGTGAGTTAATTCCTATTTGTAGAAAGATGGCATTTCTGGCTGAGAGTGTACCGTAGCACAAACCATGGGAGTAACGGAGAGGGCCAGGGATGCTTGAAGGAGCTCTGGTGGCATAGTGGGAAAGCATCTGACTGCTAGTCCAAACTGCTGCTCCGCGGGAGGAAGACGAAGCAATCTGCTGCCATAGATTGGAAGCACCATGGGATCACTATGAGTCGGAATCAACTTGATGGCTGTGGGTTGGGTTTTCTGGGTGAGTGATGTTATTGCAGAGACTTGGGCATGAAGGGGACTAGAAGGAGGGGGTGAGAACTGGATTGGGGAGCCTCCAAGGCCAGGTAGTATTGGTCTTGATTTTTTAAACTACTCATCCCCCACTGGAATGAGTCTTGGTAGGACTGTCAACCAAAGTGTCCCTCCTTGACCCGAGTTAGACCCGTCAGACCCTAGTTCTAGAGAGTATCATCTTTGGCAGAGTGACTCAAGGGAAGGGCTGGGGCCTTCCACACCATCTCTCTCTGGATAGGTGGACATCATTACCTGTTTTCAACATGTTGGAAGCTACTCTGGTCTTATGTTTCCAAAGACTTCTTCAACTTCTCGTTAGGTACTGTGAGAGCCTGGATTCTATCGAATAAGTACCTGTATTAGTTTCCTATGGCTGCTGTAGAAACAAAACAAAACAAAAACCCCACAGTGTATTGTCTTACAGTTCCAGAGGTCAGAAATCGGAACTGGGTCTTCGAGGGCTAAAATCGAGGTGTCGGCAGGCTGGGTCCTTCCAGAGGATCTGGAGTAAATCTGTGCCTTATCTTTTCCAGATTCCAGAGGCTGCCACATCAGTCCAACCTCTGCTTTCATCCTCACATCTCCTGCCCTCTGTGGGGTGGGGCACAGGCCTTTCCACCATGTAAGGGGACAGAGTCCCATATTACCAGAATTGGGACGTGGGTGTCTTTTGGAGGCAGGGGGATTGATTACTCAGCCTGCCATGGACCTTTTAGCTCAAATTAGTCAGAGTTACCTTCCGTTGCTTACAACCAAACCCTAACTGATGGGTAACTTCTACTTCCCTCCACAACAGAGAAAAGTCATGTTTCTGGCTGTTGATCATAAACTGAAAGTAAATTGTTAAATATTCTTGGAAAATTCTCTCTTTCACCCAAGTTCCTAAGGTGAGTACTAAGGCCAGACAAGAGGACAGTCTGGCATCTGACTTGGGAACAGGTGCTCCTAGGATCCTCTGGTTTCCAAGAGACTTGAATTACTCCTTTGACCCAGGTGTGTCCGATTCCCTTGACAGGACACTGAAATTCTCAACACGGCCATCCTCACAGGAAAGACAGTGGCTGTGCCCATCAAGGTGGTCTCCGTGGAAGAGAACTGTGCTGTCACGGACATCTCGGAGTCAGTGGAGTGCAAGTCCACCGACGAGGACGTCATCAAGGTAGATGACCCCTTAGCCAGAGGGCTGCACTGATGCAAACTCCACTCGGGTCACCCATATAGTAGGATGGTTCAGCCCAGTGAGATAAGCGGTCCAACTGGTGTCTTTTTGTGTAACCCAGTTCTGGTTGTGTCACTAAACTTTTCCACGTCCACTTCTCTTGTGTGTGGCTTCACGCCAACCTTTTTCAACATCATTGGTATTTCTGAGTCCTTTGTTTCAGCCACTGTGTCAATCCGTGCCAACTGTCTTATTTAGCTAATGCTGCCAAAATACCACAAGGGGGTGGCTTTAACAAACAGAAATTTCTTCTCTCGCAGTTTAGCGTGCTGGCTCCGGGGAAAGGTGTTCTGTCTGTGTCAGCTCTGGGGGAAACTCTGCCATCAGTCTTCCCTTGGGTGTAGGAGTTTCTCAGTGCAGGGACCCAAGTCCAAAGGACAGGCTCTGCCCCCAGCTTCCTTGGTGTTACTGAGTCCCTCCCTCTCTGCTCCCTTCCCTCCCCTTTTTTCTCTTGTAAGATAAAAGGGGGTGCAGGCCACACCCCAGGGGAACTCCCTTCCATGGGATCAGGGCTGTGACCTGAGTAGGGGTGTGGCATGCCACCCTAATTCCCTTACAACTGATTGATCCCATCAGATCATGGATGATGATTACATCATCACCTAACTGCCAAACCACTGGGCATCACGGCCGGCCAAGTTGACACAAACTTTGGGGTGACACGGTTCAATCCAGGACACCAACCTAGCTTTAGTCAGTTATGTGTTGGCTGGGATCAAACCTAAAGTAGCAGCGCGGATGGTATAAACAGGTGAAGTGGACGCAGTGAGTCCCGGCTCTGAACCACCACCGTCCCCAGGTGGGGGAGGTGGCCTTGAACCCCGAGGGCTGTGCAGAAACCCTGTGGAGTCTGAGGGGCCAGGCAGGGGACGAGACACTAAACACACCGCCCAACAGAAATGAAATTCCTGCCCCAGAGGCAACCTTAAATCCTCAGGTGGCCACAGTCAAAACACGCAAAAAGAAACATGCATAACTAATTGTAATACTATTTAATAGTATCTCAACATGGAATCAGTGTGAAAGTGGAGTGATGTCTACACTGCCTGCCGGGAGGCCTCTAACATCTGGGTCTGTTTTACACTGAGGACGCGTGTCGGTCTGAACCAGCCCCA